CAAATTTTGACTTCTCATTGGACGATAAAGTAGATCGAAGACTGTAAAGAAATTTTGCATGTACGTTTTGTATATAAAGTAAATGAACATATACACATATAATATAGTCATTTGTACTATCAGTTATTGTGGTGTTGGAGTTTACCTACCGGATCACGGGAGTAAGGCACTTTTACAGAGCAGTTCAGCCTGTTAGCAAACTTATAATATCTATATTTTGTTATTTTACTGACGAATGTTCGACTCTGTGTCAGAATTTGTAACACAAATTTAAGTTTTAAACACCCGACAGAGAAGAAATAGAAGAAATACTAGTAATATATCTGCTTATTTATGACATGACATATTTTTCATATCCTATATGAAAGGAATTGGTAACAATTCATGCAGAAGATTTGCAAAAATGAAGCTGTAAACGAGGTTATGCCTTGATCCCCGCTTCCACCCAACCCCTCATCCCACCCCTTCCTCCAACACGACAAAATTGTTTATATTTTAACATTTAGAAGTGATAATGATAGATGACTGCAATTTGTGAGATTATTTTATTTGTTTTGTCATAAAGATAACATATGACGTTGAGTGTCCAACAAGGCCACCATGTTTCCTCAAGGCCATGTCACACGTTAAATACCCTATAGTTGAACTCATTTCCATTGATGATTTCATCTTATTTGTTTAATTTGTGAAAATACAGATGTCAAAATTTATGTGCATATTGAGGACGCTACTCGAGCGATCATAACTAATTCAACTATCCATTCTACACTAAACTGACTTCATGGTATGTGCGTGTATGTGTGCGCGAGTGCGTGTTTGTGCGCGTGTGCGCGTGTGCGCGCCCTTCTGTATGCGTGCTTGTTCGATATATGAGACTGTATTTCTATTAATTTCTTATTTACTTTTATCTATAATATACGAAAATAGCAACATGTTTATAAACAAACAAACGTGATTTCGTATAGAAGCAATAACTGTCGTTATAACGATTAATTGGAAAAAGTTGTGCAGTATATATTAAATACGCAACGAAACGCGATTGTGAGATATTATTTATTTTTTATAAATTGATTTTAAAGGTTATCTGTAAGTATTGTAATAACATTTGTAGTTATTGACTTCCTGTGATGAATTATTATAAGCTGGACTTAAAGTTTCTTTTTATTATAGATATTGCAAGTAGAGCGTTGCAAAGTCTAAAACTTTCTGCAAGATAGTAAGTCACCGACATTTTCTAGTTGTTCACTCTAGATCTAGACCAACTTCACTTGACGTCAATGGATGCAGATAAATGATATAATATCAACGTACTAAACAGATAAAAAATTGCTAGTCATTATTTATTACATCAAAGGCTTAACGAAAATAAACATAGCAAATTCGATGATTTTGTACCTCGCCGGATACTGATTTCTAACAATAAAAAGTGCACGATAGGTTATGTACAAGTTATACTCAACAATTTTGCAATGTTTTGTATGTTTTGTCCTAGTATAAATCAAATATGTTTATCAATAACAAAATTATGGCAAATTTGGCACATTGAAGGTCAAAGTCATGATAAGGTCAATATCAAAAATCCAAGTTTTTCTGTGAACCTACTGCATAACTAGTCAGTATATTATTGAGTGGGTCCCACCTTAGCATACAAATGATATGCGCATCTCATTTTGGTACTGAATGTTCCTGTTAAGTTTGTCATTTGAAACCCAGTCAGTCGTTGTCGAGAAATTCGAACAGACAGCACCAAAAATATCCCGCTTTATTTCTATATGTTGATGTTAACTTAATGACTTTTTCCTTGAATTGTTTTTTGTACAAGCCTAAATCAAATCCGTCTATTAATTAATAACCAAGTTAAGGTAATTTTATTCAAATTCAATAAATTGACTTTAAATATCAAGGTCATTTCTATGTCAAAGTTATGAATTATTCAACAAAATTGCTCCGTCCATTACGAAGCACAATTCAATAATTTGACCTTTAGGTCATTTAAAGGTTAATGCGAGGTTCAGTTTGAACTTCCTGGTGATGTTGCCCCAAGTGTTGTTACATTTGTATGTCCAAATAGACAATTAATTTATTGATAATAAAGTTATAGTCAATAATAGCAAATGTCAAGCAAATTTGAACTATTTGACCTATTCAGGGACCATAACTCTGTGTTAAATTATTTGAATGGAAAATGCCAATGATACAAATATCTCCTTTTCATCTTGACGTCGTTGAAATCAAGAATAGCAGCAGCCGAGAAATAGAACGGAAATGATTTTTACTCTGTAAATATACTGCAAAAATTAGCAGGGGCCATAACCATGTGTTGAATGATCCAACCAAAAACATGCAGAGGATATGAATATCATCGCCTTTTAGTATTGATATGTCCTACAAAGTTACGCGTTAAGATTGCCAAAAAAGCATGACAACGAATTTTATGCAGTAAACATACTGTGTCATAACTATGTGATTATTGATCTGACCAGGACATACCGATGCTGTTGATATTGAACAAAGTTTTATTGAAATCTCGTTGATGAAACAAATGTTACTCTATGTTCATACTAAGAAACTAAGCAGGGGCCATAACTAGGTCCGACCAGAACATGTCCAGACTTTTGTTATTAATTGTTCTTATAAAGCGATGTTAAAATCCAATCGCGGAAACAAAATTTACCCCGTGATCATACTGAATAACAATTGAAAATTCCCGCAAAAAATGGAATTATATACTTGATTTCAATGAAACTGAAAACTAGCGAAGAAACGGAATTCGGGCTGAAGGATGGACAACATAATGCCCCTTGCTAAAAAAGTGGCGTTTTTATCGTATCAATAATATTAACCTAAACGTGCGCAGTAAAGCACGTGAGGCGCTATCGGTAATGTTTAATTGTTCCATCAACCTAAAAAAAAAGAATGTAAAACCCAGTATAAGCATAATTTTGTTCCTCTGCTCCTTTTAATACTTTGGCAGGAAAAGTCAAGTGGCGCGCACCTGTCCAGAGGCATATCTAACTTAAATTTTCAGTTTGTCGAATTAGCAAGGAACGCGCTGGAGTCCAAAATTATATCAAGTGACATCCTGTATTATGAAATCCAAATATGGTATCTGCCAAAAGGTGCTACCTTCGCTTAAGTGTTTTATAACAAGCGTTGTCGCAAGGCATTACACAGACTTATAATAAATTAAATTTAATATGAAATGAAACACCACTGAGATCCAACAACGTTTTTTTTTTTTTGGGGGGGGGGGGGGGTTGGCGCTACATTTCTCCCAATTCAGGTGAAAGGTGTTGTGACGTCGTAAAACATCAACCTTTACCAGAATAAAACCAAAAAGAAAATGAAATATTTTAGTATAAATATTGCTTATTTAATCATATTTTAAATATAGTTTTACATCTGCTGATGTCTTCGTAGAGTTCACCATAACTTTCAACGACTACCAATGGTAAAGATTTTTTATGGAAAATATATCTTAAAAATATTAATTAATAGATTCTACACAAAGATAATTATTTCTTGAAATTGAATTTTTCACTAAAGTAAAAAAAAAATTCTAATTAATTCATTTGTGAAATAATGTTTTTTTACAATAATTATGTTATTTTTTCATATGACATGAACAGATAAATAGCGATATGAGCTCAATTGCATACAAATACACAAACTTAAGAGTTTAACAATATAATTATAATATAATTATAAACAATTACAATATATAAACAATTACAATATATAAAGAAAACGTCCGCTACACATAAAGTTATAAATGGTCAACATTAAACATGTATATGTAAATATCACCTATGTACATTAATCGCATAAGCCCAGACAGATTAGATACACTGTTGATAAAACGCACAAAAATAGATGGTTTGGATATTTTCGTAGATTCGCATTTACGTAGATACGCAAGTCGACTAAGATATGTGTCCCAAAAGCTAGAAGTTATGTAACAGTTTAATTGATCTACTTTAAATATCTGTAAGGAATATATACTTCAAGTGGTGATAAAGCTCTGCGCAGTGCATTCATTTGTGATACGATGTTATAATGGTGCAGTATTTCAAAAATGGGTCAAAGTGGGTTTAAAATCAACGTACACAAAGTACTGTTTGCTTCCAAATTCACTAAATAGAAGTTTTACATTCAAATAAATTTCCAGTTTCTAAGATTTTGTTGTAACTTCGTCGATCATATACATATGTATTTGTAAAAAATAATAGGTGGAATGCATTTTAATTATCATGATATTGTTTTATAATGAATTAACGATTTGTGTGCGTAACTATTTAGGTGTAACTATGGCATAAGTGTACTTTTCTGATGAGTTTGAAAATATTAGTCAAAGAATGATGCTATTGGCCTTTTCTGACTGACTAGCACCTATGCTACATGCTGCTAATGTGCTTGCGGACGAGTTTGAATACAAAATAACACAAAAAAGAGTAGAACACATCATCCGAATATCACAATCAAAACCTATCAAAATATCACCATTATTATTATTATTGATATTTTTATTTTTCAATTGTTTTTTTTTTGTAAAACCATAAAGAAAATCTGAACAAAAGCGAAGAACTATAAACCATGCAATGCTTCCTTATAACGTCACGACTCGAGCAATACAAGGCTAGGAAGTTTGTAACTGACCGAATTTTCAACAGAACAATTGTATATAGGTGTATAATAAATAACGTTATCATTTAGTTTTGACAATTTTGAGTATGATATTGACTAGACGGTAACCTTATAGGTTTAGCAACGATAGGAATATGTTTGATCGCAGTCTTATTAAGTCTATATCCCAATAGAATGGCACAATTAAACTTTTAAAACACCGGTCTCTCAAAAAAATGAGGATATTTCTATGGTGATGTGAGATTACAAGACAATCTGGTAAGAAAGCATTTATCTGGCATCTACTTTAATCACTTATTCCACTCCATGAAACGACGATAACGCATTAAAGAACATGTAATAAAATGATCGACATGTTCGGTTATTACGAAATTGATAACGTTAAAAGATAACATGAGGTTTCAATGTAAAATTGTCCGATTTCATGCTATCTGTAAAAGAAGTAGGGCATTTTGAGTATACGCACACTAAACATGCATAATGACAGGAGGTTAGTTCTTTTTTTCATTTTTCATTTTTGTTTTTGTTCAGCATTTTCTTGCAAAATCTGCAAACACATTCTTTCCTTTAAAAAATATAGAATCTTATTTGAATCACTTATATTGTTGTAGGGAAGTTTGTTTTTTTACTATTAAATATCTTTAAATTCTTTGCAATCACTTAAAACCTTTCGTACAGTTGAAAAGTTTTTCTCCAAGGTAAAAGTTTTGTTATACAGATGTATGGCTGTTTTATATCTTATAGTTCAATTCGACAATAAATAAATTGAAAACTATTTTATATTAAACCAGAATAATATATCATCACGCTGTTATATCATATGATACCATATCATCAGTGCATGTGACCTTAGTATTAATATATAAACAGTTAATGTACATGTAGGTGATTTTGAATTATATGATACCGATTTTTCAATATATTCGTATATGGTGCTAAAGAAGCCATGAATGTGCCACATGTCCTGTTATGGAACCGAATCATCAATATTTGTTTAATTTTACAATACACGAAATCGTACAAACTCAAGTATCTGTATATGAATTCTTTTTTTAACGATATATACGATACCAATTCTTTATTATATGGCACCAAGGTAGATGAAACGAATTATAAACATATTTATACATTATATATACGAAACTTTGCCATGAGTGTCGTTTGGACATTATAAGATGCAGATTCTTTAAAATATGCAACCAGTTTTTATGAATGTAACCACATTCCATATTTAAAACCTGGGAAAACGTCTTCCATGATGAAACCGAATTATCAAAATTGTACTTGATAATAACATAATATGAAACAATTCCATCATTGTATGCAACTAAAGTAGCAATATATGAGTTAATTACGATATTTTATGAAACCATGTCATCAGTGTATGCAAACAAAGTAGCACTATATGAGTTCATTATGACATTTTATGAAACCATGCCATCATTGTATGTAACCAAAGTAGCAAAATATGAGTTCATTATGACATTATAAGAAACCATGCTTTCATTGTATGCAACCAAGTAGCAATATATGAGTTCATTACGATATTTTATGAAACCATGCCATCATTGTATGCAACCAAGTAGCAATATATGAGTTCATTATGACATTATATGAAACCATGCCATCATTGTATGCAACCAAAGTAGCAAAATATGAGTTCATTATGACATTATAAGAAACCATGCTTTCATTGTATGTAACCAAAGTATTAAAATATGAGTTTATTATGACATTATAAGAAACCATGCTTTCATTGTATGCAACCAAAGTAGCCAAATATGAGTTCATTATGACATTATAAGAAACCATGCTTTCATTGTAGGTCACCAAAGTAGCAATATATGAGTTCATTATGACATTATATAAAATTATGCCATCAATGTATGTAACCAAAGTAGCAATATATAAGTTCATTATGACATTATATGAAACCATGCCATCATTTTATGCAACCAAAGTAGCAATATATGAGTTCATAATGGCATTATATGAAACCATGTATATCATTGTATGTAACCAAAATAGCAATATATGAGTTCATTATAACATTATATGAAACCATGCCATCATTGTATGTAACCAAAGTAGCAATATATGAGTTCATAATGGCATTATATGAAACCATGTATATCATTGTATGTAGCCAAAGTAGCAATATATGAGTTCATTATGACATAACGAAACCATGCCATCATTGTATGTAATCAAAGTAGCAATATATGAGTTCATAATGGCATTATATGAAACCATGTATATCATTGTATGTAGCCAAAGTAGCAATATATGAGTTCATTATGACATAACGAAACCATGCCATCATTGTATGTAATCAAAGTAGCAATATATGAGTTCATTATCACATTATATGAAACCATGCCATCATTGTATGTAACCAAAGTAGCAATATATGAGTTTATTTTGACATTATATGAAACCATGCCATCATTGTATGTAATCAAAGAAGCAATATATGAGTTCATTATGACATTATATGAAACCATGCCATCATTGTATGTATCGAAAGTAGCAATATATGAGTTTATTTTGACATTTTATGAAACCATGTCATCATTGTATGTAACCAAAATAGCAATATATGAGTTCATTATGACATTATATAAAATCATGCCATCATTGTATGCAACCAAAGTAGCAATATATAAGTTCATAATGGCATTATATGAAATCATGAATATCATTGTATGTAATCAAAGTAGCAATATATGAGTTCATTATAACATTATATGAAACCATGCCATCAAAGTATGTAACCAAAGTAGCAATATATGAGTTCAGTATGGCATTGTATGAAACCATGCCTTCATTGTATGTAACCAAAGTAGCAATATACAAGTTCATAATGACATTATATGAAACCATGTATATCATTGTATGTAACCAAAGCAGCAATATATGAGTTTATTATGACATTATATGAAACCATGCCATCATTGAATGCAACCAAGTAGCAATATATGAGTTTATTATGACATTATATGAAACCATGCCATCATTGTATGCAACCAAAGTAGCAAAATATGAGTTTATTATGACATTATAAGAAACCATGCTTTCATTGTATGCAACCAAGTAGCAATATATGAGTTCATTATGACATTTTATGAAACCATGCCATCATTGTATGTAACCAAAGTAGCAATATATGAGTTCATTATGATATTATATGAAACCATTCCATCATTTTATGCAACCAAAGTAGCAATATATGAGTTCACTGTGACATTATATGTTACCAAAGTTGTCGTGTATGGAATAACATGTACATGTAGTTATATGAAACTGAGCTATCAATTTATAAGTTCTTACAATATGTGAAACTTTAGTTAATGAAACTGACGTAGAAATTTAGAAATTAATTTGGACACATGGTGCCAAATTGTCAATATATGGCAATAACAATGGCATTAAGGTAGGTATAGAATTTATTCTGTAAATTCACTTTAAGAACTTTTTAATACAATTCCATCAAAAGAAAATTGATTATTTAAAAGAGATAAACTTGTATTCTAGGATCTAATTGGCTCATTTCTATTGTCATTTACAATGTTTTACATAATATTTTAAGCCTATTATAGCATTCGGCACGATATGGCCAGTTATGTGTTGACGTGCCGCAAAAATCCAAACAAACAAACAAACAAACAAAATTGTACTACTAAATGTCACTATATTAAACCAAAGCAATAAATAAGTTCAGTTTTACAAGAAGCGTAGCAGCAATATATATGTCGATTCAAATATTATATAGTATGTCACCACAGTAGCCATTTATAGTTTGTTTAGGTATTCCACGAAATTAGTTTTCCTTTATGTTTCACTTTCCATTTGAGGTTTGATTATTTCAGTTCTATTACGTACGCTTATGCATTAAAATGTCTTTATAGATAAAGAAGGCACCATGTCTTGCAATATTTTTTGTTCCGTAATGAATTTATTTTCCTTAGAAAATGTCTCAACTAAACCAAAACCTTGAGCATCAGAATGTTATCAAACAGCAAACTGCAATGTGCAAACAGAATTTTGTAAACTCACAAGGTAACAGAAAATATAGTTAAAAGTAAACGCTAAACATGCTTCATACACTGGTGATCATACATAGAAAGCCTGAACTTATTTATATATTGAGGGTTTGGTTTCTTAAATGAAAATATGATTGATTGATTTAAATATTTTGTAAAAATATGCTTAACATGTAAGAAAATGAAATTATATATTGATAATTTAGTTTTATATAATCACAACTCGTTCAATATATAGATATTTTGGTACTACGTATTGAAGATTTGATATCATATAACGTCAAAATGAAACAATTTGTCACTAGCGGGTTTATACAGAGACGCCATGGTTTCATACATTGTAACAACCGTTTCCCAATACATTTAATGTCGAAGTGGTCTTATATATTACTTACACGATTAAATAAATTAAATAAGTTGAATAAGGAATAATAAAAGATATTCACAGCTTTCCATACTAAATGATTTAATAAATTCAGTATCTTTATTGTTTCACAATACTTAGGTTATACATGTACTTATTCGTTTAATTATTACGACATTTATTGAATCTTACAGTACTGAAAAAGTGTAAGTCACTTGTGTTTGGACCAGGCTTGTTTAAAAATGATGATGATCGTCGCAGGACGACCTCAGAGAATTGTTCTGACAAGGAATTGTTGGAAGAAATACCGGAATATAACAAGACTCGGAGGGTAACCTTTGCTGATATTGGAGAGCTTCACACAAAATTTGCTCCAAAATCTACGTGGTCTTTAAACGGTAAACCAAGTACATATCACAAATTAAATGACAAATTATTTCACACCTTATGAAAGTAACCAATCGACTTCCTGCAGTTGCACCATGAGATCTTCCATTATAAATCATACATGTGAACATACACTGTTTGAACAAAACTAAGGATGCTATAGCGCCTCGTCCATTATATTCTAGATTTTAGCATATAAACTAACCTCGTGAAATTGGCACAAATGTTGTATTTCACTTGTACTTTTCTTAGTAAGAACTTTTAAACATCGCTGTATCGAATACTCTTTATACTTATAGCAACGGATTTCTGTTATCACAATTATTATATACATATAATTCACTTATTGCAATTAACCAAATTTCAGCTGTCTCTCGTATGTTAAACAGTTTTACCTTGATGAGTAATAAGTCTAATACTATATCTTTATCTTTAAGGTGGTGGTGTTACAAATGTCGGCTATATTCATAGAAATTGTGCCGAACACATTCCTTTGAAAAATGAACAAGACATCTTACAGGAGTCGGAATCTCCTGCTGAAAGTGTCATGTGTCATGTCTCTGTTTTACAAACACCAGATGGCACTGGGAAGCTAGAGTCAAGAAATTGTGATCCCCTGGAACTGACCTTTGGCAAGCGAGGAAAAGATATTGGAGAGTTTCAGGATGCCACCGGAATAATATACATTTCACGTGATCAAATACTGGTTACTGATATGGTAAACAACAGATTGCAAATGTGTAATATAAGCGGAGAAACGTCCACAGTGTATAGTGGTGATGACATTTCCGAACCTTGGGATGCATGCACGACAAATAACGGTCATATCGCTTTCACGTCAAGACGACGGAAATGTGTAGTTATTATGTCTAAAGAAGGAGATATTTTATGGTCTTTTGGTGCCAATTTCTTCGACTGTCCTTGTGGGATATGTATTGATGCAGACGGCAATTTTATAGTGACAGACGTCTGTTTAAATCGTGTTTCGATTCATGACAACGCTGGCCAATTTCTTAAGTACTTAGGTAATCCTAAAATAGCAGAGCAACAATTTTCCAAACCACGTTACGTCTGTTCATCATCATGTAACGATTTAATTGTTTCTGATTCAGGTAATCATCGTATCAAGCTTTTCGACAAAAATGGCCATTTTATACGTTCTATTGGGAAATTTGGAAAGGGAGACGGTGAGCTTAAGACACCGTATGGAATATGTAATGACAGCTTCGGTCATATTTTAGTTGCGGACCATTACAACAACCGAGTATCCATGTTCACGAGAGAGGGAGCCTTTGTTTGTCACGTGATAGAGGAGCGTTATTGCGTCAAACATCCAAAAGGACTAGCACTTAGTCCAGATTTAAACTTATTTGTCACGAGTGGCAATTTAAAGGCATGCGAAATTAAAGTTTACAAGCTTAAATGTTCAGATCCAACTGTTATTGTTCACGTATGAAACTTTTCATTCTATCAATGAGTTCTCATTCTATAAATGAGTCCATATTATTTGTATATTCTTTATTCATTGCACAAAGCGATTTTACATGTAACTATAAACTTTTCTTTGAAAAGGCACTTCGCTTCTTTTTCATTTTAGATCAAGCCTTGAACGAGTCAAAATTTAAAATGTTTGCTCAGAGATTGTGATACCAGACATCTTGAAATAATGAAACGTTTTTTTCTAATGACAACAGTCCTTGATTTCCTATACGTTCATCAGTTCTTAAAACTATCAATGTCCGAATTTCAGATGTTCTGAACTTTTTGATAATCCTTATAGATTTCCTTACCACTAACTATATGTATGTTTTCATTTAATAAAATTGTTTAAAAAAGAGGATGGAACGAATTGCTTATAAATGTTTTACCAATGGGCTCGAGACAATCAAATCTTCTCGGACCTTTCTGTCAAACGGACCAGGACCTCCAACACAATAGTAAGATACGGTATTTCTTACAAATTGTAATTTAATGCAGGCAGCTGTTGGCTAAGTTTATTCTAATATATCCAGTAAAATACCACTTAGATTAAGTAAATTTATTGATACAAAAAGTTAGCAGTACATTTTTTTATAAACGTATCATTCTGGTTGTAGAAACCAAAAGTTTCTACCTGTTGACAACTATTCGGATTTGATCAATGGATACGTTTTTGGCTTGCAGCCACGGCTGCAAGCCATTTCATATGGAAAACTTGTTCCGGTTAGGTGTTTTTCTGCTTACATTTGTAAGTGCATGATTGAACGGGAAACCAGCTGAAATCGTGCCAATCGCAACTTTTCGGCCTTTTTCGTCACTCTTCGGATTAATGATAATAGCCGATGTAGTTCCGATTGCAATCGTGACAATTCGGGCGATTCCGTCATACTGCAGAATCAATCGAATGCTGCGGAATCAGACGAAGTAATATTACGGAAATCTAAGCTATTTTAGTTACTTCGGTAATCCCAGTTTGTTTATATAAATAGGATTGATTTATTGATTTAAACCGTAATATATTATAAACGAAATTGTTCCGTTTCAATTCTTTTTCAAGACGCAAAAGTTAGGTTATTTTATAATTGTTTTTTGTCTGTATTAGTTTTATACAATAGAGGATGTTGACTGTAGTAGTATTCTGTCTTCAAAGGGTGGTCCAATTCACGCATGATCGAGTTATATTTAGATCTACTGAACTTGGTGAGGTAATCTAAAAATAGTTCATGCATATCATTAACCTTACCACGTGATGATCTATAGATAGCGATACCACGTAACGAAGTGGAACTTGTTTTATTTCCTTTCAGTATGATAGATAGATCTTCACGTTAGTATTTTTACGATTGATTATTTTCTTTATTAGTTTTATACAATAGAGAATAGATTTCAAATCGTTTTGACAAAAATATTCGTTTTTACAAAAATAAAAACAACTTAATATGTTGGGATGAAGGCACAACTGTGCAAGCCTTTCCTTTTAAAAGGAAACTTTATACTGAAATAGATTTGCTTTCCTTTGGATACCAAATATATACATTCGTTATACACTATCAAAGATTACATCTTCTGACACATTGATTCACAATTACTTTATGTGCTATTTATTGCAATTAAATTCCAATCACTATTAACGTATACGCTACGTATGTTTTCTTAGCTGATTCATATTGCACAGTAGAAATACGTGTACCAAACGGGTTTAATGTTTTAGTATTTTAGCTGTACATGCATAACGATTACGCGCATTTACTTTATTATAAATGTACGTCGGTAAAAGGGAGGTAACTGTATTTGTGATCAAATGTTCTATACCGCCAATTGATTGATTGGGTTTTACGTCGCACCGACACAGCATATAGGTCATATGGCGACGTTCCAGCTTTACTGGTGGAGGAAGACCTCAGGTGCCCGTCCGTGCATTATTTTAGGCACAAACGGGTACCTGAGTAGAACTACCGACATCATAGTTTCATTGTAATTTGAACTTGTGTAACAGGGGGGTTTTCAATGAAAACAGCCATTTTTCACAAATGCTTATGCGGAAATGGGTTAACTGGTCAGCAGATTCTAATATACATATGTACCTAAAGCACCGTGTGTTAAGTCTGCTGACCATATAGTATAAGAAGAAAATATGGCATAAACCATAAACCAATTTTTACTAACATTGCAAAATAAATTAAAACTTCACTGTAAATATCATTTTCCTCTGTTCATAAGCAGTTTCTCAAGGTTGAGCTAAAATCACTTTGGCTATATATAAAACAAGTGGACACAGAAATCTAGTATATCTTTTATATTTCTTTTTTTTTATTTAATCATACTTATTTACTATCTCTAAGAAATATAAAAGCGCTATGTTCACTAAGCACCAAAAATGGCTCGATCTTAGAAATTGATAAAAATCTAAAGAAGCGTCAACTTGATAGGTAGTTGGATATTCGAATAACCTACTACATACTTGCTGGTAGTTGGTTATTTTTAATCCCCCACTACCTACCGGCAGGTAGTTGGTAATTCGAATTTTGCATGTTTCCCTTAAAACAACAACAACAACAACAAAAAACAACAAAAATAAACAGTAAGAATTTTTCCGGATTAAATATAATGGATAGATGTGTGTTATCAACATTGAAACACATTGTCTCACTATGTCCACCAGCGGAATCAGTTGGCTATAGTACAATATGCTGACCAGTTAAACTTATAGTAGGATCTGCTGTTAAGTTAATCTTAAAGTGAAAATTGTTGACCACTTATGTTAGATATATAGAAAAAATTATGTGTTGACGTAAATTTCTAATTACATGTATCTTTATTTACAATGTTAGTAATATAATAAATTATACATCTTACAAAACAATAAAACCACTGATGACGATCTATGAATATATTTTGTTTGAAATTTTTATACAAGAAATAAACAATGATTTTTTTTTTGCATCTTTAAAATGTCAACATAAGATCATTTTCATCTGAAATATTTCTATTACATTGTATATTAAAGTTTCACACAATTTATTACATTTTCCGTCTATGTATAACTCTTTCAGTATTTATATACAAAATGAATCTTATTATTAATTTATGATTTCATTTAAACATTATTAGTATACAGAAAAAACAACAAACAAATAAATAATAAAAAGAAAAAGAAAAAACAAGAAGAAAAAAAATATTGACAAAAGTAAAATTATCCGCTATTCTATAACGTCAGCTTATTCGCCAGCAGTTTAGAACCGTCCACCAGAAGACGAGAGTCGACAATGCGATAACGCGATGACGACAGTGCGACAGTGCGATGGCGACAGTGCGACAATACGATGACGACAGGACGACAATGCGACAGTGCGATAACGACAATGCGACAGTGCGATGGCGACATGCGATAACACTATCGCTCTGTCGTCATCGTACTATCGCGTTATCGCATTGTCGCTATCGCACTGTCGCATTGTCGTCATCGCACTGTCGCATTGTCATCATCGCACTGTCGTATTGTCGTCATCGCACTGTCGCACTAGTCGCACTATCGCATTGTCGCCCTCTGTATTTTAACGTATAACCACGATGGCCCTAACGGTATTCCGTCATATATACTGTTACACTGTAACAGTAAAAATTTCTTTGTCACGTGGTACACTTGCATTAACAGTGAGGCCTATGGGAAATTAACATTACAGAAAAAGTTAAGGGTAATAAACTTGTATACTACTACCACTAGTATTGGCCACACATTGACCGGATGCCTAAAGTATTTTTATATGAGCCGCGTCATGACAAAACCAACGCAATTCGTTTGTGACCAGCATGGATCCAGACCTGCCTGCGCATCCGTGCAGCCTGATCAGGATCCATGCTGTTCGCTTACAAACCTTATTACAAGTAGAGAAACTGATAGCGAACAGCATGGATCCTGATGCCCCCTGATACTATGCGCAGGCTTGTCTGGATCCATGCTGGTCGCAAACGCATTACGTTGGTTTTGTCGTGAAGCGGCTCATATAAAGTTTCAAAGTTTTAATTCAACATTGATACCTTCTATGGCAGAAATATTATAAAATTTTCTAAGCTTTGTACTTTTAAATTTGGCCATTTTTGGTCGTACTTTATGACATTAAGACAAACCTGACTTTCAAGCGTGTTGGATTCAATTTTATTTGTTTGTTTTGAAGATAGTATCTCACGACAGCATATCTAGACGATTATTCCTTTTGGCTATTTCTAATTCTGCATAACCTATGATTGAACTTTCCATAGATGATTTTATTATTTTATTTCTTCTATTATGGTTAAAGGCATTTGAAATGTCGATTTACCAATAAATAAAATGAAATTATTATTTAGTCTTATTTCATTGATGTGAAAGATATTGATATTACTCATTCGATATAAGTTAACTACCATTTCGAATTTTATCAAGACTGACTTATTATAAATTATAACATTTTCAATAAATTCAGACGATATTATCTATAATTGATATTTTTCTTGACCAAATCGTCAAGCAAAGTTGTCCGACACAAGTTTGCAAAGAAATGTGCTTTGCCACATATTTTACCCTGTAATTTGTATACATTATGTATTCCTTAAGATCATCTTTCTTCGTTTCCATATTGTCCGCTATACGTATACTTTACCTATGTATTTGAGACATTCTGTCGCATATGTATGAGTTTGCAAAGCAGTTCCCATGGAGAGTCCTTAGAATGACAGTCTTGAATTGATTAAAATAGTGAAATACGCCAAACATTCATGATATTTTGACAAAAAGAAAATATTGAAGTAATAAAAGGTTTAAAAGAGTCCTAATAATTTTGATAATTATAATAAGCCGACAGAAAAAATAATGCTACAAACAGATTCTGTCATTTCACTTGGCCGAATTTTGACAACCTTTATGAATGTGCTAAAAAATTCTGGTAAGTGTGATTCATCGAGAGCGGAAACAATTGGAAATTGCAGACCCGGTTATATGAAATCTGTTCTTTAGAGATATACAGAATAATAGGTTGGTGCCGTGGATGGAGAAAGTTTATCTGGCGAGGCGGAGGAATTTATTGGGTGAGCCGAAGGCGAATCCAATAAATTCCGGAGCAGAGCCAGATAAACTTTCTCCATCCAAGGCACCAATCTATTATTCTATTTATCCTGTCACCGTTTTTTTTTTAAAGAATTTTATTAGGCAAACTACCTTTAATCACACTATCGAAAATGTTTCTATATAAACAAAGAAGGCCCGAAGCGTGCATTATTCTACAACAATGCACTCGCCATTCTTATTATCTCCCTGTGTATTTTCACATTGAGGGCGCCATTTTGTTTGAAAAATGTGATAATTATAAACAATTTTTTGTCGAATTTTGTTGTGAAAACTATCTAGAATGGAAGAAAATGGTCTAACTAAGAAAATGAATTCGAACACCAATATCTTTTATTCAGTCGTTAACGCTGTACAGACGTTTAAAGTATTGTTTACGTGACGTCACAATGTAGCGCCAAACAGCACGTGCAAAACAATCAAATCAAGTACGCTATTTTAAAGCAGCATGCCTTCAGATTTATGCTTATTTTCATGAAAATTTTGAAATTTAACCACCAAACATAAAGCTTATTTTCATGAAAATTTTGAAATTTAACCACCAAACATAAAGTCCAACATTATAACAATAATTATATTTTTTCTTGAAAAGTAGTTCGGCAAAGAGGTGCCCATTCATGCATACCACGTGATCAAGTGCCGTAGATCAGTAAAAATATACGGCACCTTGTTATCGGGCCGAAATTGATACAAGTGACAGGATAAAATTAAACACACACACGCACGCACACACGCACCAACGCACGCACGCACGCGCACGCACGCGCACACACGCACACACACACCGCTCTCCCCTCTCCCTAAAACCAACTTAAACGGTATTCTGTCCTCAATATACACTGTTTAAAGTATTGGACTCAGTGATACAAAAAGAAAACCATGTATATTTGTGCAAAATAAACAGCAATGGGATGACTGCACTTTTACAAAATAGCAACCACCTGTTTTCAGTCGCGTTTATAAATTAAGCCAAGGCCAGTTATAAAATTTTATGTGAATTTATTGAATTATGAAACTGTTAACGATCAAGCAATTACCGTAAAACTCGCCAGTGCTCGGGGCATTGCCACATGACAGTATTGACCTACATGTGTGATTTGAAATCACGACCCTATTTTGTAGACAAATTGAGAGGGTATTTAAACTGGAGGACAGGCCCAGTCAGAAAAATAAACTGGTAGAAAGGCCAGAGTCAGTAAGGTAAGGATAACGTTTTCATTTTATAATTGTTTAAATATCTGAATATTTTCAAAAAATTTAAATTACTAAGATTTACTTTTTTTAAGATATTTCAGCAAAATAAAATATGTTCTTCTACTTAATTTATTAAGAAATGAAATTTATTCAATGACAACAAGTGGCAATAAAATGGTTTTATAATATTTTCTGGTATCGCGATTATATTCTGTATCTCTGTATCTAACAAGAATTCTGTTCTTAGTAAAATATTTTTCAGTCCTCATTAAAAAAATATGAGCCGTGTCACAACAAAACCAACATAGTGCGTTTGCGACCAGCATGGATCCAGACCTGCCTGCGCATCCGCGCAGTCTGATCAGGATCCATGATGTTCGCTATCAGTTTCTCTACTTGTAATAGGGTTAGTAAGCGAACAGCATGGATCCTGATCGCACAGGCTGGTCTGGATCCATGCTGATCGCAAACGCACTATGTTGGTTTTGTCATGACGCGGCTCATATGATAAGTACCGCAAACTCTTCATTGAACTGTCAAAGGCTAGGTCTATGTATGTCTTATTATATGTAAAAAGAAAACAAAGAATTAGATATAAGATTAGATTTTCTTTTACAATTTTTAGGATTGAAAGTCATAGTTTTGTATTGTCGTATTTATAGAATTTCTTTGTTGATGGTGTTTTTGTTACATGGTTTTATACTGATTATGGGAAGAATTTTAAGAAAAACAAACAGAAAAAGTTGGGACTATCAGGCGATTTGGCAGTACTCTTTTCTTCACGGACTCGAACCGATAAGAAAAGAAAGAACTCAGTTATTTGAATAAAGAAACGAATATCAGATATTTTTCCGATGAAAATGTATCGCCAGGCCAAGTGCGATATTACAAGTATTTCAAAGAAGATGGTATGAAAGCTTATAAAAGTCTAAGACCCAGATGTTTCATTCTGTTACTGATTACAACTATTTGAATATTACATATTATATCATTTATATATTATCAATGTGTATAGGCTTGAAATAATGAATTATAATCACCTCACGAGTAATTCTGTACATTAGTGCTCCTTATCTATTCCTTGTCTATTTGTTTTCCAGATGAATCCGAAACTTCTAATACTCATCTGCGTCATTGTGCTGTCATCTGCCTTACCTGTAAGTAGCAGAAGTTAACATGTTCTATTGCCTCCTTTAAACGTGGACAATTATGTCTCCTTACTTTTGTGAAAAGCAATAACAGGTCCAGATATTTAGTTACACAAATTTACATCATCGCTTGTTGATCTTTAACAGGCACTTAAAATTAATATGTATGTAAAAGTCATAAAAGACAAGTGCGTTATTGGTGAAGTATTAAAGTCTTAGAACAAGGCGTCGTTTGAGTTGCATTTAGACATCTCCTCCAGGATGATTTTTTGTACAGAGTGCATGGCAGCAGAGTAATTTGATTCTTTTTGTCTCATTATACCCTAAAATGCTATTATTTTTATTTCTCAAAATATTGCAATCGGTGTTTTTTTTTAAAGATTCTGGAAAAATACTTATTGGCTATAAAGCTTAGTTATCTTTTGATTATCTTGTTTTTTTTTTACAATTATTATAGCTGTAATGATTTAGTATTGTGTATGGAAGGCAAAATACCAATATGTTAACGTTTTGCTACATTTATGACAAATAATTTCTCAATGACGGATAATTACTTTCGGAAAATTCGTGTAATCTAATCTCAGCCCATTCTTATTTCTTATTTTTATGTCATATATCCCAAAATAATAGAAATGGAGTTGTTCTGTTTTGTCCGGTTTACTATAGCTTTTTTTTAATCTTTATTTTCACAGTCCTATCTAAAGAATAAACTTCCATTTATTTCTTGACAACACATAGAAATCTATAATGTTGTCTGAAAATCTAGTATTGTATATTCCGGTAAATTAAAAAAAAAAAAACTCTCCGAAAAAAAAATGGTTCTGTTTCTCATTGTACACATGTATATGTTTTTGTATTTTTGTGATTATTAACATTGTTCTATGTTAAATGCTTCATAAACTTCGAATACCGTTCAAAAAGTTATTGGGTATTTATGTAGTGAATACATTGCAGTAGCTTATATTATCAAAGAGACTCTTTTACAAAAAAAAAAAAAAAAAAAAAAAAAAAAACTAAATGCAAAAATTGCTCTCTCCAAACAAAGTTTGTTTATATATATCTAATAATATTCCATTTCTAGTATTTGAAAAGATAAATTATTTCTGCTTTGTGTTAGCAATAGAAAGGAACAACCTTGCATTTGAGAAAAATGCTATGCCACCGCATTAATTCAACACTAAATAGTGGTGTAGGAACAGATTTTTTGTTTCTATATATACAATTGAAGATTGTCACCCTGACCTATCTAATTCTTATTATCAGATTAGTGGTTAAATCTATTGTTAATCCAATAAAAGATCAGAGTAGGAATATATCAATGCACTTGAGTCTAGTGAATTTGGTAGTGAAGGTCATATTTCACACAGCCTAAATTTCATGACTACATCAAAGGATAACACAGTAAGGCACTTTGTCAAAATCTAGGTCAGCTGATATCAAAGTTCACTTTACATCTTAATCTGTGCACATGGTTCAAATTTCATAGCTGTACATCAAAGGACAAAAATGTAGGTCACATCATCAAAATCTAGGTCACCTGATATCAAAGTTCAATTTTACAACTAAAACTGTGCACATGGTCAAAATTTCATTGCTGTACATCAAAGGGCAAGAAAGTAGGTCACTGTCCCCTTGGGCAAGGCAAAATTTTGACACAAAGGTTTAATTAAAAACAATCTTGATACAGGTCCACCAAACAACATTTCAAGTCAAATATCTAAGCTGTAGCTTTCTCCCATTCAGAAAACATTTGTTTCATTTTCTGTTTTTACTATGTGTACATAATGAGAATCACTGCCCCCGGACAGGGCCAATTTTGACACCAGGGGAAAAATTTGAACAACTTTGGTAGATGACCTATGGATGATATTATATAGCAAACATCAAAGCTCTATGCCTTGTACCTTCAGACAAAAATATTTTTTATTTTTTTTTTACTTTATGTACATAATAGCCTTGGTAAATTTAGAGAAGATAATCTTTTTTAAGTTTTTACAATATACATATAAGGAAAACCTATGGCCCCCGGGGCGGGGCTAGTTTTGACACAAGAGGCAAAATTTAAACAACTTTGGTAGAGTACCTATAGATGATATCATTTAACAAATATTAAAGCTCTTAGCCTTGTACCTTCAGACAATAAGATTTTTTGATTTTTTACCATATGTATATATTGAAAATCAATGACCCCCGGGGCGGGGGCAATTTTGACCCCAGGGCTATAATTTGAACAATCTTGCTAGAGGTTCACTACACAATGTTTCATGCAAAATATCTAACCTCTAGCATTTGTCAATTACTAGAAGAATTTTTTAAAAGTTTTTACTATAACTTTTTACTATATACATATAAGGAAAACGAATGACCTCCGAGGCGGGCCGATTTTAACCCCAGGGCTATAATTTGAACAATCTGGATAGAGGTCTACCAGACAATGCCTTATGCAAAATATCTAAGCTCTAGGCCTTTTGGGTCTTTACAAGAAGGTATTTTAAGTTTTTACTATATGTACATATAGTGAAAATCAATGACCCCCGGGGCGGGGCCGATTTTGACCCCAGGGCTATAATTTGAACAATCTTGGTAAGGGTCTACCAGACAATGCCTTATGCAAAATATCTAAGCTCTAGGCCTTTTGGGTCTTTACAAGAAGTATTTTAAGTTTTTACTATATGTACATAATGTGAAAATCAATGACTCCCGGGGCGGGGCCAATTTTGAACCACAGGGCTATAATTTGAACAATCTTGGTAGAGGTCTAACAGACAATGCCTTATGCAAAATATCTTAGCTCTAGGCCTTTTGGGTCTTTACAAGAAGATTTTTTTTTAATTTATTCTTATAATTCCTTTTGGTTGCCATGGCAACCAGATTTCTGCATGGAATGAAATTCTTTGAACAACTTTGGAAGCCCTTTACCCAAGGATCAATCTTGGCAAGTTTGGTTGAAATTGGACTAGTGGTTTTTCACAAGAAGATTTTTTAAGTTCACTATATAATCTATAGAACACACAAACAAACACACACACACGCACACGCACGCGCGCGCGCATACACACACACACACACACACACACACAGACAGAGGTTAATCGCGATATGCCACCGCATCTCAGATGCTGCGGTGGCATAAAAACCCATTTCGTCAAGTATCTTCAAGTTTTTCCCCCAATAATTTCCATTTATTATTGACATCTTCTTTCAGTACATTATACATTCTTTTAATTAATGAGTAATTTTCTGGGCAAAGAATTTTAACAAATATTTAATCATTATAATTTAATGTTGTATTCTCATTGGATACCGTCCCAGTTCTCCGAAAAGGCCAGCTAGATAAGTTGATTTTTTAACACTAAGTGTCTTTCTTAAAAATTTATAGCTATACGCTCAATGGCGTGTATTGAATATAATAAGAATACTTTTTTTTGCAGAAAAAAGGTGGCAAAAAGGGTAATAAAAATGAAAAAGATAAGTTCTTTAAGAATTTTGTGGGTGTCCTCAATAAAGAGCTTGATGAGATCCTTGATGAAATGTGTACTGGTATTGATGATGGGACACTGGAAAACACTGACGACGCATATAATGATGTGTTTAAAATGATTGATCCAGTATGTGACGATTTAGAGGCCTACATGGAAGGACAAGACGCAGAAGCGGAAAAAGTTGAAAATGAAGGCGATGTTGCTGAATATGCTAAAGTAATTTGAGCCGCGTCACGACAAAACCAACATAGTGCGTTTGCGACCAGCATGGATCCAGACCAGCCTGCGCATCTGCGCAGTCTGATCAGGATCTTTGCTGTTCGCTTACCTAGAGAAACTGATAGCGAACAGCATGGATCCTGATCAGACTGCGCGGATGCGCAGGCTGGTCTGGATCCATGCTGGTCGCAAACGCCCTATGTTGGTTTTGTCGTGACGCGGCTCATTATGATATTTTGAGTATTTTCTCTATCGTTATATTCTTGATTTAGCTATCTATTTTTTCCACAGTCGAAAGTGAAATCATACTTATAATAGTAATTGTATTAATACGAATACATTGTAATTTTCCTACTAGTTCAAATTTACTAATCATCGAATGATTGTCTTCTTTTTAAAGAAAGGTGGCAGAAAAAATAAAAAGAAAGCTGATGCAAAGCACATTCTACATGTATTTTGTCGGAAATTGAAACATGAAATGGCAAATGGTGTAAGTATATTAACCACTTTGACTTTTTTATTGGAAAAAAAACAACCTTTAGCAGCATATTCAGACGCCCAGAAAATAGTCAGCTATCCCCGCTTACCACTTGGAGCTTATGAAATATACGTCTTTAAACTATTCCAAGAACTTTTTAATTTTATTTTTAGATTTCACGGCCCTTATATATTTTAAGCTTTGTGCGTGAATTTTAACAAGTTTTTCTCTAAATGACTAGATATCAGTGTAATAATATTTCGAAGGTGAATAATAAATAGCAAAAATAATGTCATTATGTGAAACAGGTTCTCACATGAACATAGCTGATGTTTTATTCAACCAACGATTTAAAATTTGTGTGCAATTAATAATTTACGGACTAGGGATAAAAAATCTTCAATGAATATTCTAAGACGAATCACACTTAGTAACATATATACAGATATGAAATATCATGGCACACGCCCATATATCCTCGCACACGTGGGAAAACACACGTGTGCGTTTGTGCGTGCGTGCGCATAAAAATATTTTAGCTGTAAATATAACGATAATACACGACTTTGAAAAATACATTGCTATGAAAATTTAAAGGTATTATTTGCATCACAAATATTTTTTTGTTGTTAATCGTTATCGTAATCTACAAAAATATACTGAAATTTTATATATTCATTTAAGTTTCCCGAGGACACTCCACAAGAGTTATTGGACATTTATAGTGATATGGATCCCGTTTGTGTTGAAGTACATGATATAGAAAGGGGAGGCCCTGAAACAGGCCTTGTACATATATGTCAAGGTCTAGCAGATGGTAAATTACAAAACTCAAACCCGAAATATACCGAATTATTTACCAGAATGGACCCAATTTGTATCGAACTTCTTGATTACGTTGGCAATACAGAAGGTGGTCCTCCCGCTGATGATCAAGAACTTGATGTAAAGGCTAAGGTAATCTTTCTGTTGCCATTTACGTTGTATCTTTTTAGCTAATATCTTTAAAATTTGATCTACGAATGTTTTACTTCTTTCTATAATAAAAAAGCAACATAATTCATTTACGCTTTGTTCACATTTATTTTTATCTCATCTGTTTTACAACTAAACTTCGGCCCTGTGTACTATGTATGGGAAAATAGAAAAGTAACAAGGTTGTAGATTGAAAAAGGGCAAATTTATTTATTTGCCTTGAATGTTTAAACAAGTAAATATAACTATGGCAAATTTATTTACAAATGAATAATCGTGTTATCCTTCGTAAAATAATGGCTAAGAATGAAGATGCCGGATCTTGATTGGTTCAGAAAGTCATGTGATAAAATTGTACTCTCTGATTGGTTAATGGTAATTCCTAAAATAGCATATCAGTGGAAGGGAATTCAATTCACGAAAAGTACAACAATGTTATAAATTATTTTATATGTTTATAAAATATATATATCTTATTTTAAAGAAAAATGGTAAAAATAATGGGAAGACAGATCATAGTGCCGTGGTGAAGCTTCTACAATTCTGCTGGCGCCATGAGGAGGTGACAATGAAACAAGGAGTGAGTCGATTAAGATCGTTTTTGTTTTTCGTTTTTATTTCTTTTTCGTTGGCTTTTTAAAATAATCAGTCGATAATCAACTCATTAATTTAATAAAATCATACTGAATGATAAATTCTTGTTAATTTGATTTTTACTGCATAATTTTGTCATCCGCAAATTATTAGTCAAGAAATAAATGTTGTACATTTTATTTGAATTTTCATTTGAATATGTTAGATATGTCCGCATTGCAATTTCGGGCGCGATACATTTATTTACATGTACTTGGCATTCTGGTGAACCACAACATCCGCAACACACATTGTTGCAGCTGCCGAAATATGAAAGGTATCAATGCTGAAGGATCAACGATTGGCCATTGCATATAACAAGTATTAAAATAGTGTTAAAATACTTAATGAAAGATGGAAAATGGCTGACGGAATTACTGCACTTACGTTCAGCCAGAGCGAATGCTGATATCTGCCAGACGACTTAACCTTTTTATTTTAGTTTTTCAATCTCTGAATTCCTCAAAAGTACAAAACACAGTTTTAACTTTTAAGCGTGACAATTCCGCGTTATATTTTTGTATATACATGTGATGGTTGATCAAAGGTCTAATAGGGTAAAAGTCCTGGTTGAGGCAAAATCAAGTTTATAATTAATTCTTTATAATAACCTTAAGCAATATATGTAGATGAGACATTCATTTTAAATTTGTCATTTTTTAAATACGCATTTCAATACTTGCATACATTTCAGCTTCCCGAAGATATGCCAGAAGAGCTAAAGAAAGTCTTAACTGACATAGTTCCTATTTGTGACGACGCTATGGTCATATCCGAAGGAGGGAAACCTAAGTGGAGTTTTAACTATTTGTGTGAAGGTCTTTCATCAGGTGAAGTAAAAAACACCGATTCTAGATTTAAGAAGGTGTTTAAATTACTGAAACCTGTCTGTAATACATATTTAAGTGGAAGAAGCCAATTTGGAGCAAATAACAGTAATACTTCCGTCAAAGCAAAGGTAATACCTTATCATCTCAAATATATACCAGTATTTACAATTTAAGTTAAAAAATATTTTATATTTCGGATCAACTTATAAACTATATAAAGCATGATTGTAACTTTTACTGATGGTTCTGAAAACAATAACTATACATGTTATACTTCAGTTAACTCTTATTTAAACCAACATATTTACCAACAAAGACAGTCTTTATTTGTCTCAGCTGAAAAAATGAAACATTAGACTTTGGCCAACACGGGAAATTTACAAAGTGATTGCAGACTTTTTTCATTGGGCGTGTCCCTGGACTGCACAGTGGTACACGCTGGTTACCGTCCATTCCAACATCTAATCATGAAAAGGAATTGAAGCCGTCATATAATGTGACACATCAAAGAACAGAAAAATAAAACATCTTATTCTATATTCAGGTTAAATCTATTCATCAACGTTATCTATAAAGTCTAAATAAAGATTGAAAGATAGCGTCCATTGTTTTGTTTTCGTTTCATGCCATATAGACATTACAAAAACATAAGTCTGCAGATGCTTTTGAAAACTTTTTTATGTGTTAACTTTATTGTTCACATTTTAAAAAACTTAAATATACTCATATGCATCATTTAGATTTAAAAATTGAACTATTGTTGATTTTTTTCTTTGAAGAAGGGTAACAATAAAGGTGGAAAGAAAGGGGACAATAATAAGGCTGTGACTATTCTCCTATCATTTTGTGAGACTGTGGTTATGGTACACACGCAAGAAGTAAGTACACACTTTGATAGACATTTAAAGATAAAGGTAACAATTCCGCCTTCTGTTGTAATCCCTTCTTTATACAAGAAAAATCATGGAAGTTTTATAACCTTTGAACCAATAGTTTAGACGAAAACATGGTTTAAAGCAAAAATAATTCAGACACAATGGGGCGATCGCTTTAGAGGATTTCATAGCACAGTGCCTTTAACGTACATTCAATTTTGAATGATTCCTCTTTTAAACTTAAATATTTTGGTTAATGTAGCGTTCTGCTTTGAGTTCCCGGAAACGACCGAGCCAAAGTGAATATGCTTCAAACATATAGTTGGCACCATCTGATTGACCATGTTCAATATATTGTCAACATTTTATGTTTTCTAGCAAACTCTTTGGAGATAAAAACTTTGTATGATGTATGCTATGCCGGTTCATACCACATTATATGCAATGACTAACAAGTCATTAATTGTATAATATTTTATCTGAGGTGAATCGATAAAGAAACGGACCACATTTTTACAATGATCGTTCTGCTATTACACATGTTTAAAGATTGGTCAATATCACTAAAGTGATTTACATGAAGCCAGGGGTAAAGGTTGGGGAATCTCAACTTGCACTGGCACTACAAATGATTATGAATGAATTATCTCATATTTACTCAAACAATATATAACTGTTTACTTTTCAAATGTTGGTCCATTCCCATCAACACTAAATTTTTAGAGATATATAATTATATTGTATTTTAGATCTAGATAAAATCTCTTATTTGCCGCATATAATTAAAACGCTAAATTGAATTTGCATGGCGTTCGGCCTTCTTCAGCATACAGATATAATCAGACAAAACAAGGGAAGTGACGTATATACATTGTATATTATATATACAATTTTAGTTTTTCATACATCTTTGAGTATTTATTGATGATTTCTTATGTTTAATATGCTCTAAACTTAGAAGGGAACACGGCATAGCTTTGTGTTTTAAACATTGACAGTAAAATGTGTATCAAAAATGAATAGAAAACAATGAATAGAAATGTGCCTGAAATAGGATTATCTCACCTGATTTATCCATTTTGTTTCTTTAAGTTTTTTTTTTAAATCTTTTTTTTTCAGGTTCCTGTAGGTATGCCGGTTCATGTCATACAAATGGTTAAAGACATAGAACCTATCTGTAAACTTGCTGAGAAGATTGCATCTAAAATAACTGAATAATACCATGGATAACGGATAGTTACAGTAACGTAATGGACAAGTTAAGAAACAGTTGAACTTTTTTGATTTTTGTGAAATGATGTGAAATGTACCTCCACTTTTAGGTTTAAGTTAAAAATCAACACTTAACAAACAAAGAAAAAGCCTTCTTACTGGATCTGACATTACTTGTCTATGACTTGAATAAAAATATTGTTCACGGAATTATTGACTTTGAATGGTTTATGATAGTTAGTTACGTAACTGTATTGACACATTGCATATTAAAATAAAACTGTACGCGTTCATACTGTTGATGTTGCTTTTCATTTCTGAAATTTTGTATAACGTATTATTTTGATTCTTAACCGCCTCCGTGGTCAAGGGGTGAGAGTTGGGTTCGATCCCCGGGAGATGCTTTGGTAGTTTAGCGCGGAGGAAGGTAGTCTAGTACTGGTGTAACTTTCCAGGAACGATGGTTAGGAAACTACCCGCCTATATGACTGAAATACTGTTGGGAAAAGGCGTCAAATGAAACAAAAAAAACAAAACAAAACAAACAAAATTATTTTGATTTCATAGTAAAGATAAATGCATTCATCAAATTGTAAAAGTGAATCTCTCCTTTCCCTGTTAAAAATGCAAATTAATGCTCTTTTCACATGAATAGTTACCGTACTACTAGTAAACTTGACATGGAAACAAACATATTGCCCGTTAACGTACTTCTACAGCACCGACAACCATATTGATATCAGCCGCGCCATGACAAAACCAACATAGTGCGTTTGCGACCAGCATGGATCCAGACCAGCCTGCGCACCTGCGCAGTCTGATCAGAATCCATGCTTTTCGCTGTCAGTTTCTCTACTTGTAATAGGGTTTGTAAGCGAACAGCATGGATCCTGATCAGACTGCGGATGCGCAGGCTGGTCTGGATCCATGCTGGTCGCAAACGCACTATGTTGGTTTTGTCATGGTGCAGCTCAATTATTATGTCAAATATACTGTTTTTCAGATTTTTCTGCATCCATGATACAAACTAGTCCATGTTAATATATTATTAGTACAATATAATTATCTTGGTTTACCGTTAATTGATCGACAAAAAATCAACACTTTAATGAAATAGCCTTGCCAGCACTTGTCTTTATGACTTGAATAAAAACACTATTCATGTACGGAATTATTGTATATATCGTTGTGCTATGCTCAAAACAAACCTGTGCAACACATTTGGGAGTATTAATATCAGTAAACTTTCTATCAAATGGTTCATTATAAAACTACAATCGGAACATCTCGGTCCATATCCGAGGACAGACTGAAAGGGCCGATAAGTTGCGATTACATAACATTTGATATGTACGAGACCTAAAATCAGATTACAAGTAGTCAATATAATTTTAAAAACTGTGCTCGTAATGTAAAAAGTAAAACGGTGACTTAGAGTGTCTATATTTGTATGATGTTTTAACCAATGATAGGTGAACAGTTCTCAGAAAAATGGCAATAATATAAACAAATGAAAGTAACAAATTCTATTCACGAGAGTCAATAAAAAAGCGCCTCATGGCATCGGCTCAAGCATGCTATATTAAAACTACAACAAGGTTTTACCATCAAAATGCAGGCTAAAGATACATTTTATGTTACTTTTAAAGAAATATCTACATTCTTTCACTATATTATTTCTTTGGTTGAAGCAGGGTTTATATTGTATACATCCCTGTTGGAAGGAGGATATTTATTGTATACAGTCTAACTTGCCCATGCGACCACGTGTATTAAGCGACTTTTGTCTTAAACGACCACTTTAAATTCCCCCGATCATTTTCTCTCTATATCTTTAATGTATTAAGCGACTTTTGCTCAACGCGACCAGCGATCGCTAATTAGTCACCTAATTGAGATCAATCTTTTCATTAAACGACCACTTTTACCTGTCAAGTAATTGTGTTTTTAGAGAACGCCACCTCGTAATGTCACAAGTGTCAACAATCAAAACACAACAAATAAACGTGTGCAAAACTCTATTTCCCAAACCGTTTAAGCGTATGCAAATGAAGTTAAGTATACGCGTGACGTGTATTATCCAATATTATCGGATAAATACGCTCCGCCCCTACTGAGATGGTGTATACGCTTCGCTTGTTGACATTTAGACTGCAATGAATTGACCTTGAACTTGGTCAACAATTAAATTAATCGTAACAATTAGATGTAGTTTGTTTATTTCAAATGAAAAAATGCACAACAAAAAACATCTTTACTAAGAGGGTTTTTTGTTGGAGACAAGAAAAAACAACGGAGAAGTTAAAAAATTCTGGAAAAAAAGTCAAACATGTACGTAATGGATCAAAGCTGTTTTGTCAAAAAATATCAGAAAGTTATTTTTTACATTTGCATCCATTTAGATTATCGGAGCATACTAATTTTTCATAATTTATATAAAAATGAAGTTGAAAAACATTCCCATCGCATAAGAAAGATGTCATTTATAAATTTTGACTTTTATATCATGCTGTCTTAAGAGACCGTTTCATTCAGCGACCGTTTTGGGCGTTCCCTTGCGCGGTCGCTTAATACACGTTTGACTGTACATCTCTTGTTTAAGCAAGTTATTTTTGTATACATCCCTGTTCTTAGCAAAATATTTATTGTATACATCCCTGGTGGATGCAGAGCATATAATGTAAACATCCCTGGAAGAAGCAGGGTATATCTGGTGGAAGCAGGGTATATCTGGTGGAAGCGGGGTATATCTTTTGAAAGCAGGGTATATCTGGTGGATGCAGGGTATATATTGTATACATCCCTGTTTGAAGGAGGATGTTTATTGTAATCATCCCTGGTAGACACAGGGTATGTACATGTATTGTATATACATCTGGTTGAAGCAGCGTATTTATTGTAAACATCACTGTTGGAAGCAGGGTATATATTGTATACATCCCTAGTGGAAGCAGGGTATATATTGTATACACCCCTAGTGGAAGCAGGGTATATATTGTATACATCCCTAGTGGAAGCAGGGTATATATTGTATACATCCCTAGTGGAAGAAGGGTATACATTGTATATTGTATACACCCCTAGTGGAAGAAGGGTATATATTGTATACACCCCTAGTGGAAGAAGGGTATATATTGTATACATCCCTAGTGGAAGAAAGGTATACATGTGTATATTGTATACATCCCTAGTGGAAGCAGGGTATATATTATATACATCCCTAGTGGAAGCAGGGTATATACTGTATAAATCCCTAGTGGAAGCAAGGTATATATTAAATACATCCCTAGTGGAAGAAGGGTATACATTGTATACATCCCTAGTGGAAGCAGGGTATATATTATATACATCCCTAGTGGAAGCAGGGTATATACTGTATAAATCTCTAGTGGAAGCAGGGTATATATTATATACATCCCTAGTGGAAGAAGGGTATATATTGTATACATCCCTAGTGGAAGCAGAGTATATATTATATACATCCCTAGTGGAAGCAGGGTATATACACTGTATAAATCCCTAGTGGAAGCAGGGTATATATTATATACATCCCTAGTGGAAGAAGGGTATATATTGTATACATCCCTAGTGGAAGCAGGGTATATATTGTATACATCCCTAGTGGAAGCAGGGTATATATTATATACATCCCTAGTGGAAGCAGGGTATATACTGTATAAATCCCTAGTGGAAGCAGGGTACATGTATATATTATATACATCCCTAGGGATGTATATAATATATGGAGGTAGTGGAAGAAGGGTATATATTGTATACACCCCTAGTGGAAGCAGGGTATATATTGTATACATCCCTAGTGGAGGCAGGGTATATATTGTATACATCCCTAGTGGAAGCAGGGTATATATTGTATACATCCTTAGTGGAAGCAGGGTATATATTATATACATCCCTAGTGGAAGCAGGGTATATACTGTATAAATCCCTAGTGGAAGCAGGGTATATATTGTATACATCCCTAGTGGAAGAAGGGTATATATTATATACATCCCTAGTGGAAGAAAGGTATATATTGTATACATCCCTAGTGAAAGCAGGGTATATATTGTATACATCCCTACTGGAAGAAGGGTATATATTGTATACACCCCTAGTGGAAGCAGGGTATATATTGTATACATCCCTAGTGGAAGAAGGGTAATATATTGTATACACCCCTAGTGGAAGAAGGGTATATATTGTATACATCCCTAGTGGAAGAAAGGTATACATGTGTATATTGTATACATCCCTAGTGGAAGCAGGGTATATGTTGTATACACCCCTAGTGGAAAGAAGGGTATATATTGTATACATCCCCCTTGGAAGCAGGGTATATATTGTATACATCCCTAGTGGAAGCAGGGTATATATTGTATACATCCCTAGTGGAAGAAGGGTATATATTGTATACACCCCTAGTGGAAGCAGGGTATATATTGTATACATCCCTAGTGGAAGAAGGGTATATATTGTATTCATCCCTAGTGGAAGCAGGGTATATATATTGTATACATCCCTAGTGGAAGAAGGGTATATATTGTATACATCCCTAGTGGAAGCAGGGTATATATTTATACACCCCTAGTGGAAGAAAGGGTATATATTGTATACATTCCCTAGTGGAAAGCAGGGTATATATTGTATACACCCCTAGTGGAAGCAGGGTATATATTGTATACATCCCTAGTGGAAGCAGGGTATATATTGTATACACCCCTAGTGGAAGAAGTGGTATATATTGATATACATCCCTAGTGGAAGCAGGGTATATATTGTATAACATCCCTAGTGGAAGCAGGGTATATATTGTTTATACATCCCCTAGTGGAAGCAGGGTATATATTGTATAACATCCCTAGTGGAAGCAGGGTATATATATGTATACATCCCTAGTGGAAGAAGGGTATATATTGTATACATCCCTAGTGGAAGCAGGGTATATATTGTATACATCCCTAGTGGAAGCAGGGTATATACTGTATACATCCCTAGTGGAAGCAGGGTATATATTGTATACACCCTAGTGGAAGCAGGTATATATTGTATACATCCCTAGTGGAAGAAGGGTAATATATTGTATACATCCCTAGTGGAAGCAGGGTATATATTTATACACCCCTAGTGGAAGCAGGGTATATATCTGTATACATCGCCTAGTGAAGCTGGTATATTGTATACATCCCTAGTGGAAGCAGGGTATATATTGT